TGTCCAATACAATCATTGTTACATCCTTTGCCTCTGAATCCTTATAGTATCTAGATTCAACAAATGTCTTACTAGTTATCAAAGCTTGAATATCATGCTTATGCTCATAGATACTTTTCGAGGCAATAAAAGTAATGGCAAACCATGTTGCTCCGGGGTAGATGATTTCTGTCCAACCTTCTCTTTTCCTTAACCAAGCTAGCAAAAAAACATAGTTGTAAATGAATTTTAAAACTATGGATGCACGTGTTGCTAAGCTACTAACAATCTTCATTTTGTCTATATCTGATAAAATCAAATTTAAGTAATGGGTAGTACAAGGAGACTAGAAAATAGAAGGAAACTTATCATTTAACAACCTTCTAGCAGCTTTATAATTAGCTATATTATCAGTTACTAAGTGGACAACATTATTTGCACCAGCGAAAGCAACCATATTCATGAATAAGTTGTAAAGATTTTGAACATCCTTAACAATATCCAATCAACAGATCTAATGAAGACCATTCCTCTAGGGCAGTAAACAAGAAAATTAATCAACTGTCTATTTCTTTGATCCTGCTAGCCATCAACTATTATTATACATCCAGTCTCAGCCCAGAAGTTTCTACATTCATCAACCAATAATTGCACCTTCTTTTTCATGTCTTGCAATAATTTGGTTCTCACAGCACGGTAACTTGGTCCTTTATAACTAGGGTCAATAGTTGAAATAGCATCTATCATAAGCTAATAGTAAACAGAATTTACAGCATTCATAGGAATGTAACAATCATACAACCACCTAACCACAGCTAAATCCACTCTATGCGAAGCTTTTTTACCTGCAAATACGCTTTGAATTCCTGGCTGTGCTCCCGAGGTTGTCCTTGGGGCAAAGAATTTGTCTCCAGCTGCAGATGCCTTTTTTTTTTCTGGTTGAGATGAACTTGAAAGACTTATTTCTTGCACAATTTCATCATCTACTTTCAATAGATTCTCCTCTTCTTGTTTTCTCAATTTCTTAGCTGGTCTTTTTTGATCAATTTCTTTCAAGTTTTCCTCCAATCGATAGCGAACATTATGTGGCACACTTTTACAACTAGTTGCATCTCCTTTTTTCCCAGCAAGGTGTTGTTTTATTCTATGCATTCCACCACCACCAAATTCCTTTCCATAGTATAGGCATCTTAAATGAGGTTTGCCACCTTTTTTATTTGGTATTTCAGTGCAATACTCCCATGTAGGATATGACTTAGCTCTAACAGATTGTGTAGATATAACACTAGATATTTGTTCAGATGACATTTTCTAAATTTAAATTGAAAGCGCAGATAAAACATGAAAAAGAGAGCAGAGCCAAGAATTATATCACATCCAGAATAATTAGATCATATCCAAAATTCCAGATTAATAAATAACAGAGCAATGAAAAATAAAGCAAACAAGCATACATAATAAATGGCTGGATGAATCATGTATACATACTGCTCATTATACAAACTCAAATACATAGATAGAACATAGAAGCTAGAAATCAAACCTAAAAGGAGAGCATAGCACATCGAGAATTAAACAAGCTAGAGCAAAATGAGAATCACGCAAAGGCAGAGGCACGAGCTGGAGGCAGCTCAATTAGAGGCAGAGGTACGAGCTCAATATCTCAACGGCGACATGAAACTCAAGCCTTTGGATTTGGCTTGAGGTCATTCGAGTTTGCCTTTGCAGTTTGAGAATGGCGACGCAAAATCTGGGTTTGGGTTGAGAATGGTGAGTGAGATGTGAGAGGGGGACGAATCAAAATTAGAGTGCAAGATGAGATTTGAGTGAGATTTTAGATTTAAAGGCTTGATCAGTTGATTGGAGATGAGAAACATAGAGAGGCGAGAATGAGACCAGAGGTGCGACTTTGCGAGTCAGTGAGACTAGAGAGACAAGTCTGAGCTCTAAGGGTGTGAGAGTGAGACTGTGAGTGTGAGAGGTCAAGCGAGAGCGAGACATCGAGACCAAAGGTGCGAGATGGCGAGACTCAAGAGACAAGTTTGAGGCTTTAAGCTCTAAGGGTGTGAGAGGTCAGGCGAGAGCGAGACGCCGAGACCAGAGGTGCGAGACTCGAGAGACGAGTCTAAGGCTTTGAGCTCTAAGGGTGTGAGAGTGAGACTGTGAGTGTAAGAGGTCAGGCGAGCCACAATCACAAGAGTGAGGTCTCAATCTCTCAGCTCAGGTCTGTGACTCTGTGGTGTCTGTGTGTGGCTCTCTGCTTTTTTCATTTCTTATTTTCTTAAGTCATGGACCGACGAGTTACATACCACGTATGAGCCCTAAGTTTTTTTTTAATTTTTACTGACTCGAATTGACCCATATTGAATCGACTCCGGATTTCAGGTCAACTCCAGTTCAATGAAAACCGGACGGTTCTATCCGGGTCAATCCAATCCAACAGTTTAAGTGGTTCAATTGGTTAAACCAGACCACTTTACTCAGCAAGTGACAGTCAGACTGTCCGGTCTAGTTTTGACAACACTGGTGATAACAGATGAACTTGTCTCTTTCTTTCGTCGGTTTTTTTTTTTTTTTGATAATATAAGGAGTAAACTCAATCAACATGAACTCTCACTGTTGATTTAACCAAAAAAATTGAATCAAAAATAAAAACAAAAATACCAAAATTTAGGTTCAGATCTCATTAAAAAAAAAATTACTCATTCTTACAAAATAATGATAACAAAGGAGTAATAATTTTGAAAGTAGCTGGGTTAACACAATAAGACAAGCCCAAATAAGAAACCCAAAGCCCATATTGTTCGTGGTGTTTGGGCTTTACTTATTTGAGCGTCTTCCAACTTACTTGGGCACGTCCACATGATTTTTTAATTGAGCTTTACCTGAATTTGATCCATCAAAGTCAAAGAAAACATTCCCTCCTCCTCGCCAATCCGCATCATCGTCATTCTGTTGGGTTTTGTTGTTTAAAAAAGTAAAGGGAAAAAATCAATAGGGGTTCCTAGCACCACGTTATAATAATTTGTTGCGGAAAGTTTTGGAGAAGAGCACCTTCACCGTCAACGTTGGTTTCAGTGCTCAACGCATAATTACGATGAAATCTAGATCATTTAAATTTTGATCGAAATGATCTAAATTTAAAGTATCATTATATTTTATATTTCTTAAAATAAAAATTATAAAATAATTTTAATAAATTTTTTATTTTTAATATGATCTAGATTTAATTCAAAAGGCCCAATTTAATATTAAGAGTTTTATAATTGATGTATATTAACTATCTAGATATACTTTGCATATTCCAAAACTATGCAAAATATATCTGGATAATTAATATATATTAATTATAAAAATTTAAGCAAAGTCAAAATACTTGTGCAAGTAAGGAGTGAGTATATTTGTAAATGATGGTGATTTTTGTGTACAATTACATGATTTGACTTCTCCTTATGTATTTGTGACCAAGGGGTTGAACAGTGAAAATGTGATATGTGTGTTGTTTGATTGTTGTGATGTGTTGCATGAGTTCATTATAATTTATTGAGTGTGATACAAAGGTTGGTGTAGGCGTTTGGTATTTAAATTGAGTTTTGAACACCTTAGTTATATTTTGAAAGTATAAATGAGTAAGTTTGCATTTTGATATCTAACTTTCCATTGAAAGATAATTTGAATGTGATACTAGTACTATTAACTAGAGTTTGAAGAAAGCTTTATGTGGTCATCTAGATTACCTCAATTGGACATTGGTTGAAAAATTGGTGCATATCGAAAGTTCAACCAGAAAATCTACCATAACAGCTTGTTGTCATGGGTTCTGCAGTTTATGTCGTAGCATGAAATTTTTTGCTGCAATGTAATTGTGCCAAATTTAGTTTTTGCTATGCTAACCCTAACTTGATATTATTTTATCTTATATGATGTCCATGCTTTCGCATACATATTTTGCTTTGATTTTATTATTTAAATAATTTTATGACATTTTAAATTTTGAAAATTTGGGATCCCAATTATATAAATTTTACAAACTTGATAATACATTTAGGTTATTCTCGTGATTACCTCAAATTTTGAATTAGTAAGGGTGACTTTACACTTAGGTTGTATGTTAATTAAATATATAATTTAAATAGGGTCAAAACACTAGTGTAGGTAAAGAGTGAATATGTTTGTGATGGATGGTAAATTAGATATTAAATTACATGAATGAGACTCCCCTTGTTATTTTTGAGATTAAGGGGTTAAATATTAAAATGTATTGTACATGTCATTGGAGTGCTTTGGTGTGTCGCACAAGTCTTATTGAGTCTACTGAGTGTGGTTTAAGGGTAATTGTGAGCTTATGACATGTGGTTAATTTTGGACACCTTATTTTTATTTTAAAAGCATAAATGAGTAAATTTATACTTTAGTATCCAACTTTTAATTGAGAAATGATTTGGATGTGAAATTAATGTCATTAACTAGAGTTCAAATAAAACTTTTCATAAACACTTATATCACCTCAATCGGACATTGGACAAAGAAATGAGGCGTGTTGGAATTTTGGTTAGAAAATTTACCATGATAGCATAGGTTTTAGATTTTATACTTCAGCGTAAAATTTTATGCCATGGCGTATTATACTAGAATTATTGTTTTTTTCTCTTTTGACCCTACTTTGATTTATTATCTTATTTTGTATATTATTCATGTTCCCATATACATGTTTTGATTTGATTTAGTTTATAAAATGATTTTGTAGCATTTTAAATTTTAAAAACTTAGGATTACATTTGTGTAAATTTTACAAACTTAATAATTTATTTAGGTTTCTAAGTATAATATGCTCTAGGTCCTTCGATGCAAATGTTCCCATCATTCAATTTTGTGAATTAGGTGGGGACAGTTTTTTTGACAACTCTCACGTCTGAGAATGCATGCATGCATCGAAGTCAATTAAGAATCCTATATGGGAGAATGCAATAATGCATTTGATTGGTTTTAAATTCCTAGATACAGATTCTCTTTTCTTTTTTTTTTTTTCTCTCCCTCTTTGCCTTGTCTTTCAAAGTGTGCATTTGCTTTGAGAACCCGAATCAATTTCTATCTTGTGACTGCGTTCCTGCATACGGTGTTCTATCCAGTACAACTCCACAGGTATGTTTTCTCCTTCAGAATCTATTAGGTTTTGATTTCTTGGAATGGGTTTCGATGTAGAGGGAGAGGGATTAAGTTGCTTTCTTGGGATGGGTTTCAATGGAAAGGAAGAGGGATCAGATTTGACTCTGAGGGAGTATCCATTCGCGTTCATGTTTGATTGTTCCATGTCGGATCTGCATGATTTCCAAATCATCGAGATAACGTGTTCACAAGCAAAGGATTTTTTAAGAAAATAAAGGATTTTCCCAAAATTAATGAGTAAGCAAAGGACTTTCTAGTATATTTTTTATAAATATGTTTTATTTTTGGTTTCCTTCTTTCGATATTCTAGATCTGGATTGGATTTGATGCCTGGGTTTGATGGTTTCAGAAAGATTCTCGCTCCTTGTTGCAATTTTTCCCGTTCACTCTTATTCTTCATACATGCATTTTCTGAATCTTGCAAATTCTTGTTGAATGGTTTCCTTCTTCATGTTTTTTTCTTAGTCTGGGTTTATCATTTGACATCTATTTCATGATCTGGGATGTTGAATTTGATTTTGCTTCCATGGTTGTTGGCGATGTACAAGGGAAATGAAGATAAGTCAAGTGAATGCAATGTGGATGTGCCCCATCAGCATTTCTGGTCAAAATATATGCCATGTGGCAAGTAATAGCCAACTGACAGTTAAAATATGAATATGTTAGTCCAGGATAATATTATATCATTTTTAAAGACATCATGACAACATTGGATCTTTAAATAAATATTTTAGAATATCAATTAAGCCTTCAAAAAAACTTTTAAGGGCAGATTTATATTTTAACCTTATTTATTATATACAACTAGAGCTGGCTAGATTACGATTAAGAAAATAGTATGTATCTTTTGAAATTATTATTCATTAATTCTTTATCTTGTATAGCTCAATAATTGACTACTTCTTATTTAAATATTTCTCTTTTACTTCTTTTATCCTAATTTATAAGGAATTTTTGATAAAACTATACATATCAATAAAATTTATTAAATACAGTCAATAATGTTAATTTTTTATAAATTTTTAAAAATATCCTTTATTAATGAGAGGGAGGGAGTGAAATTTATTTAAGGAGTAAAATAATGAGAAATAATATTAAAATAATTATTATTAATAAAAATTTATTTTTCAAAATGTCTTATTAGAATATTAAATCACCTCAAAAAATGTCTTAAATAATGAGATGAAGAGAGCACAAATATAATTCCAATCCCATAATTTTGTATGAGTTGCCAATATATTTGTTGAGAGTTGGAGTATAAATATTGTATTTATTGTAAGAGATTAGAGCTGACTATATTATGATTAGGAATATTAGTACGCTCTTTGGTGTAAAATATGAGCATTTTTTTCTAACTAATTTTAGTTCAAAATATAAACAATGTAGTATTTGTAAAATTTTTCTTTTCTATTTTACCCCTTGTATTTATTAATTTAGATTTTATATATGTGAATTTATGACTTTCTTTTCACTTATGATAAATTGAAACTAAAGGTAAAAAGAAAAAATAATATATATTTTTTTCATGAGAATAAAGATTTTATTGGTATGTGTATTATTGTTAAAAAATGTTTATATTTTGGCCAGAAGGAGTTAGAAAAAAAATAACTCACATAATTCAACAAAGTTAGTTAAATATAATAATTACATTTGAAATTAAAAAATTTAGATTAAATTACCCTTATAATTAATGATACAAGTTTGTCTTGTGAAGATAAATTTTAATTTTATGTTTAACCATTTGAGAAAAAAATGTGATAACAATTTTTAAGTTTTATAGCTTTGCTTATAATATATAAAACAAGAAAGCAATTAACATAAATTGAGTTTAATAGAATAAACTAATTATTTACAACGTTGTAAATTTAAATTTAAATTTTTATTAGAAGAAATATTGATATTAAATACTCAATTTTACCTTGAATAAGATTAACTTTAACGAGAGGATAATTGTAATAATGAACAAAAACAAGAAAGCATTTGTGGAAGAAAACTGAGGGATTATATAAATTGTAATTATTACTCATTAATTCTTTGTCTCTGTTACCGTTCTAGCTACTTTTTTTTTCCTTTAAATATCTCAGTTCCTATGTTTTCCCTTCCCATAAATCCCATTTACTCTCTCCATCTTTATATATAAAATATCTTTAATTAAATTTTATATATCAATAAAAGCTTATTATTTAATTAAATTCACATAAAAATACAATAATTTTTTAATTTTACCCCTAATAATATTATAATTAATATCATGATGGTAACAAAAAAAAATTAATGATTCATTCTATTTTTTAAGACAAGAATAAAATTATCTACTTATTTAAAAATATCATCGTCACCTGTTATATTTAAGGATAAAATAAATTTTTAAAAAATACCTTATATATGGGGAGAAAGGGAGTATATACTTAGAATCAAGAATAAAAGCTGGACTTGAAAGCCCTATTAAATAAAGATTTTGGCTTTAAAAATTATTTTTTTAAAGTAATCAAGCTTAAAAATTGGCTTTGATAAGCCCTATAAAAAAGAACTCGGGCTCGAGCAACCTTTCAAACCCTGTTATATTATTATTAATTTTTTTTTCTTTGGTAGAACATACATTTAAAGCTAAAAAGGACCTACTCACCTGAAATATTAATCCTACACGCATTACATTATTATTAATTTTAATTTATTTTAAAATTAATTTAATATAATTTAATAAATATCAACATACAATATAAAATTTTGATATTTTTTTATTTTTCTAAAATATTATGTTTGTGTATTTATAAAAAATAATTATTTTTTAACCAAGATTTAAATTTTTTTATTAGATTTTTAAATGTGTGTTGTTTAATTTTTAAAATATTATAAAATTCTAATTTTTTTTAATTTTAAAATATTTTAATTAATTTATATTATTTAATTTTTTTTAATTTTTTTTAAAATAAAACTTATAAGATCAAGTCTAAATTTTTTAAATAAAGGTTGAGTTTTAAAAAAAGGATGAAAAATAAAAAATCGCTTAAGAGCTTGGGCTTTTATAAGAGTCCAGCCCGCCCGTTTCACATGTCTATATTGGATGTGTCTCACTTCTTCCCCACCTCACAGTTAACAACTTGACATTACGTACAACCCCCAAGAAAAAATGCAGCATCGCTGTGTGATCATCGTGGGAGCAGGTCCTTCTGGCCTCTCTGTGGCGGCATGCTTAACACGACGATCTATTCCCTTCATAGTCCTCGAAAGAGACGACTGTTTCGCTTCTCTATGGTTCAAGTATTCCTACGATCGCCTTCACCTTCACCTCAGAAAGCAATTCTGTGAGCTTCCTCACATGTCGTTCCCACCCTCTTATCCTCAGTACGTACCCAAGAAGCAGTTCCTACAGTACCTCAACGACTACGTGTCACACTTCAGAATCAGTCCTCTCTACGGCAGAACTGTGGAGAGAGCGAAGTACGACGAGGGTGGCCAGAAATGGAGGGTGCAAGCTAGGAATGGGGATTCCGGTGAGGTTGAGGAATATTCCGGGAGGTTTCTGGTGGTGGCCACTGGAGAAAACAGCGAGCCTTTCGTGCCGGAGGTGGAGGGGTTAGGTGGGTTCAAAGGGAGAGTGATCCATTCAACTGGGTTCAAGTCAGGGAAGGAATTCAAAGACGAGCATGTTCTGGTGGTTGGATCCGGTAATTCAGGCGTGGAAATCGCATTGGACCTGGCCAACCATGGAGCCAAAGCTTCCATCCTGATTCGAAGCTCGGTGATATATACAGAATCTCAGCTAAAAGTATTTGTATCTGTTGTATAATATGTTTGTGGTCAGCGCATTTAATTGAAAGGTTGAATTAATTAATGCAGATACATTTGCTATCAAGAGGGATGACGAATCTGGGATTGATGCTGCTGAAATATTTGCCTTTGAACATAGTGGACTCACTGTTGGTGATTCTCAGCAGAATGGTTTATGGGGATGTTTCAAAATTTAGGATCAAGAGGCCTCAGGAAGGTCCTTTCTCCATGAAGATCAAGTATGGCAAGTATCCAGTTATTGACGTTGGAACCTACGAGAAGATCAAATCTGGGGAGATACAGGTAACCTTATGGCTTTCATAAATTGTTATTCAATCAGGAAGAGTCTTTTAGACTGTTAGCTCCCTCACCTGCATTTACGGGAATCTTAAATTTAGAAAACTCTCAGAGACTTGGGAATATAAAAAGTGTCGATTATTTCTTTCTCACTAGATATTATTCAGCCTTCGGAATTTCATAATTCTGAGTTTGATCAAGGTTCCGTTTTGTTCTTGATTGAACGCTATTATATCATCATATAATATGGGAAAGCAGGTGATTCCAGAGGAAATAGAAAGCGTGGATGGCAACGACGTCGTATTCAAAAATGGCAGGTCGCAACCATTTGACTCCATCGTTTTCTGCACCGGCTTCAAAAGATCAACGCACAAATGGCTGAAGGTATGGTATGGGCCTAGGGATTCAAATTAACTGATTGATCCCCCTTTATATTTTAAGAATTCTTAAATCTTAATTATTACAATATTATAATCATTAATTATGCGGCTTGTTTGATAGGGCAATGATTCTCTCTTGAATGATGATGGGATTCCAAAGCTTAATTACCCTAATCATTGGAAGGGAAAGAATGGCTTGTATTGCGTTGGGCTATCAAGGAGAGGCTTTTATGGGGCTTCCGCAGATGCCGAAAATATATTATCTCAATTCTCAATTGTGTAATTGAGAAAACGATGGCATTATGGAATTAGAGTATGAATTATTGGGTGGGGCACTGAATAAGTTGTCTGCGAAAACTGGACTATAATAAATGAATTTATTGTGTTACATCGATGCCATCCAGGGTTTTCTAAGAACCACTCTTCTGTGCGCTACATCTCCCTAAAAATGTCCAAGTATTACATGGAAAATTTTAATCAATTACAGGAGTGAGCAAACATGAAAGAAGGGAAAATATGAAAAATAAATAATAATTAACGTCATAATAAAACCCCATTTCTCACGAAGACATAAAATTTTTAGTCATTGGGGCGAGAAGAGGAGAAAAACAAAATTATCCCTTCTAGCCTGCCCCACGTAAGAATCTATACCGATCAATTTTCATGCGTTCCCGTCAAGGTGCTGCGCTGGTACTGTTGCAAAGCGTCAATGGGGCCCAAAATTGTTACCATGTGCTTCGAGCATTGCTGCTATCGCGTGAGGAATTTCACATTTCGATCGCGAAAGTGGAAATTTACGCCCAGAGCAGTCCATCAAAGTCAACTTCAAAGTTTGAAACGGGACTGTCACCAAATTCCCGGTCTAGTGGTTGATCGTCTCCCAATGAATCCACGTATGGATTCAAAAGATCAGAAGATCTTTCAGATGGGATCCCATAATCTCTCAGGATGCAGGATGAAGCAGCTGCAGCTTCTTCTCCCTCCAAAACAGCAATATAGTTATCTTCAAACTCGAAGCATAGATATCTGTCCTTGCAAGCTGATCAGAAGCATAGAGCAGCTTGAACACGCTCCGTATTGAAATAAAAAACAAGAGGATGATAGAGAGAGGAAGCTACAACTCACAATCAACAAGGTGTGCAAGGTGATGGATGTTTTTAATTCTAGTCCCATTGAATTTCAGGACCTGCAACTTTCCTTTATGAGAATATATCTAAAATTATGCGATACAATCAACAGTGTGCAAGGTGAGGGATTTTTTTTTTTTTTAATTCGAGTCCTATTGGATCAAATCTGCACCTCCTGAAAATAATCTAAAATCCTCTGGAATCACCTAAAAATAAGGCCATTTGAGTCATCTTTTTAATTTCATTTCAGTCCCTCACATGTACAGTGAAATTTCAAAGTTTTAGGGGAGTTGACTACAATTAAGTTAGGTTAACGGTGGCTAACTGAAATTCTCCCATTATACAATCAATGGACAAGGTGTGCTAGTTGATGGGCGTCATTAATCAAGTCCCGTTAAATTTCAAAATCTGCAATTGTTTTTTTTTTTTTTGCCCCCTTTGGCGAAGAGAATATCTAAATTAGCAGCAGTCAATCTCATGCATAAGAATGACTTGCCTGCTGATTGCTCATATCTTCATAACCTATGTTGACTTCGTTTGCCAAGACCTGTAAATCAAAAAGAGGAGTGAAGCAAAATCATACCACACAAGTCACTTAAAACATCTCATAAAAAAATGTTCCAAGCAATAAATCTGTTGAGCTTTAGTAAAAACAACTTAATGTCACGAGCTATGCAAGACTTCTAAGGATACAACCACACATCATTTAAAATATTGTCAAGAAAGAAATCCAGCAACCAACCTGTGATAAGATTACAATCTGTTCCCCTTTGAACCTTGCCAGAGAATAACGTGCCTTTGTCAATAGTTTCAACTGGCCGGGGGGAAAGGAAGGTAAAACTCAATGGAAAAATCGTTTACATTAACAACTTTCATGTGCTAATAAAGTAACCCCTATAAATCTGAACTTACCCCTATGGAGTCTTCACATTCCTCTCTGCCAAAAGATCAATAATTAACGGTTCAATTAGAAGTAGGGAAAAAGGTTATGAGCATTGCTTAATGTGAAGAACAGAAACAAGTTTAGACAGCATACTCTATCAATGGCTCTGAGAGAGGTGTGAACACTAAGCCAGCAATTATTAGATAGGAAGGCTGACCTCCATCAATGTGATAGGGAACCTTGAAAAGAGAAACAAGAATTACAAAAAGAAAGAGTTCCACATCATGGAAATAAAGAAATTGATCGATGTTGGATTTTTATAACATACCAAATGAACTCGTGGGTTCAAAACTACTTTGGCCTTCATTGTTGTTCCTCCTCTAATAATACCAAGCTCTGCAGAGTCCCCTGCAAATCTGTACAGCACGATAAACTTTGAGAAGCCACAAAATAAGCACTTGTACCCCCACAAAAATAGATGTTGTAGATAATTACCAACTTACAGCGCTTCAAGGTAAACATGCATTCAAAGGTCAAAGTTCATAAACAAAAACTTATATTGGTAACATTAATCTTAATTGAGAAAGAAGTGATAAACTATAAACTGGATCTCAAGTGGTTAATTCAAAAAGGGAAAACCATACTTTTGACTAATGAGGAATCTGAATGCAATTCGTTCATTTGATCTGAATGGAACTGTTCCTTCACAGCCAACATGAACATCATCAAAGCTGAAAATCACATCGCCCTGAAACAGAGAATTTATTTAAAATGTTAACACACATTTCAAAGGGATTGAAATAGCCAAAAGGCTAGCGTCCAATTCCACAGGTATGCCTTCCCTCCTACCCTTTTCCATTAAAAAAAAAATCCAAAAAAGATCTCAAAATAGATAAGTTGGCTGTTGGACTATTCAGCAAGGGTGATGTAGAAGTCACTACAGCAGCTATTGAAAATTGACATTCCTCATGGACCAGACTTTCTGAAAAACAGTCCAAGTTCTTTAGAATCACACGTTTCTTAAAAGCTTTTGTTTTGAGCCTCAATTAAATTACCATTCAAGGACAATATTTTGAGAAGCCAAAACTGTCCAATATACCTCCTTCAACACATTATTCGCATCAGAAGTTGGTTCAACTCTGCGTACCAATACACCCTGCAGAAGACAAACATATAAATAGTCCAAGAATGTTAACAAGGGCAAGATAACTATATCTAAATATTGCATGGCAACCAGAAGTACCATTGACACAATTTTCTTTTCAACCATATGCAGCCATGTGATTGAAAACGTCAACACATGATATACTACAATATGTACAATTTTATGGAGGGGATACAAATACTAACTGCATTAGATCACTGAAATTCAATCATCAATCATTGAATATTAATACTGAAGACAAGAATAATTCTTCTATGCCCTTCGAGTTGCCAACTATAAATCAACAAGCCGTGAAATTGGAAATAATATCCCGTGTCCCAACTCCATGGGTTCTAGGCTTATAGCATCCCATCTGCAAAACTCTCATTTTTTTCCACTTTCTATCTTCCTCATGCACCCGCCACGTTTCCAATACTTTTTCTACCGCAGTCAATTCCTTCCATTTAAGAGGTAAGATCCTCAATCAGTCATCCTATTTCAACCCACCATATCCACATTCTTATGGCAGTGACTTACACTTTATTCTGATGACAAAGCCCATAATGTGCAATTTATGCACAACCAACCAAGATCAGGTCATATTTAAGAAGACCATGGTGTTCACGAGTTAATCTAAGGAAAATATCAGATGTGATGTGAAGAATGCGACCGTAATGCTAGCATGCAAACTGCTTTAACCCCCTTAAGATTGTATAGAGACAAACCTCATTAGACTGCACTTTCAAGCATGCTCTAAGTGCAGGATTCTCTAACTTCTGTAAAAGCACACCAAGGCAAGGGAAACCTGAGAGTAAAAAGACAATTCCAGACAACAACACAATCGAATGTTATGATTGATTTATAGGTTAAAATCAAAATGAATGCAACAGATGAAAAAGGTTAGTGAAAAACAATGATGATAAACTATTTTCAAAGATGCAATGCTGATGCCTGAAACTAGAAGATATTTAGGCATCACAGGGCATATAAAGCAACAAGGAAACAGATTCTGACACTCAATTGAGAATAATTGTTTCTGTTCCTGCTTTGTGCAAAGATACTAAAAGATCAATGTATGGGCACAAACTAGAAGAAAATACGTGAAAATGTTGGGGCTGTCAAGAAGTTACCAAGCACTCTAGCAAACCGGATACTAAAGAATGGTGCAATTGTGAACGCAGAAGTTTTAAGTTGAATAGCTCTCACTTGGTATCAGAATTTTGGGTGGATGTTCTTAGAGCAATACAAAATAACAATTAGTTCCATAAAACAACAAATTAACCATGCAATTTGACTTGGTGCAGTGACTCCAGAAACATTGGGACACTTCAGATCTGCCAAATATTAGCATATTTAATGAGGGTTTCTTACCAGTGTACTTTCCATTTTTCTCATAGTCATCTAGAAAATGAGAAACGACAGTGGTTGGTATTACATATCCAATATTTTCTGCCTCTTCAGATCTGTACACCTAGAGACAGCATTTCATTAGTAAATGAACAAAGAAAGAGCAGACAGTGCATGTGAGCTACTAATCAAATAGCAAGAGCTAAAAAATAGGACCAGTATTATGAAGTTCTCTGTTATACCATAAGGGCGGTTATCCTCCCTAAATGGAATTCTAATAACTTACCAAGGAAAGCTACTTCTTACAAAAATGGTGTCAAGCTAAAATTTACAAGCCAAGTAACCGTTGGCACATCAACTGAAAGTAGGCCATATAATCTACCTGAAAAGCTACACCGATGCACTCCCCTTGGTCATTGAAGGCTGGACCACCACTATTACCTAAATTTAGCAGTACAAACAATGGGTGTCATGATTTAGAACAGGAAAAACAGTGATCAAAGAAATTTTACCCTTGACAGGAGAGTCAAACTAAGTGTGAGCTCTACTAACCAGGATTTATTGCAGCGTCAATTTGAATCCCCAACAAATCAGATGATCCATGAGCATATGATGTGACCTATTACATTTTTTTTTTAAACAACTTAGCAAGAAGAAGTTAGTAACGTCCTAGTACATCAAGGACTGATTTGACATCACAACTGATAGAATTAAAAGGTCTGAATCAGCACATTCGTATTATCAAACCTCTATACGAGATACAACTCCCTTTGTCACTGAAATTGTGTCTCCTCCAAAGGGATATCCCACAACAGTCACAGCATCCTACAAGTTGGAAAGCAACATGGAAGATATGTAACTGACAAAATATACAGGCTTTCAACCATTGACCTTAGAACCCTAAATCCAAAACCAACTATGATAATAACAAAAGCACAACAAGATTTTGTGGGTTTGAAGATGAAGCTCTTTCTCTTGGCCCAAAACTCTATCAGGTCCCTATTGCTGAAGATTGGCACATAAAGAGCAAAAAGAATATTGCCTCAATTGCTTACTCCTTATTCTTATCATAGCACAAACATTATCATTGGCATCATATGATTTAATTGAGAATTATCATTCAAGTCAGCCTTAAACATTATTTTCTTGCACAAGCACCTATCACCCCCTTTTAGAAGCTCCCTTCACATAGTTGGCATGGGTAGTGAAGAAATCAATACTACTATTTTGTCAACAGGAGCGGTAGAGTGGGTGGAAAAGGGGAAGATGATTCAACTTCCTTTTTCATGCACCTGCTGAATATGAAATGGATCATTATGTAGCAGACTATCAGTATAGCTTCTAAATTCATGAACTGGATGTTACTTTTTTAACTTAACTTATAAGTACTTCTAACAGGTTTTAAGCATTAAATATCAAGAAATAAAGTTATGACTATAATCATTTACCTGAAACTTCACAATAACGTTTAATTTCAACCCAGTTTCATCAACACATCTGAAACTCTCAGAGCGCGTTCAAATGCCAGTGATTCAATTGACTTCAATTTCACTAGTAAATTAGTTACTCAGTTCTTCAAGGCAGATTACATTGAAGGACACAAGAAAGAAAGTAAACAACATTCACAACAAGACAATCAGTGAAAGTCTCCAAAAAAAAAAAACAGAGAGAGAGAGAGGGAAGGTGTATTCAAAACCTGAAGATGTGGCAAACGTCCAAATCTTAGAGGTTCTACTTCTCTCCAAAAGTCATCATTTTCTACTGTAAGCAATGCTATATCACAGTCAATACCTCTTGCCAAAACCTGCACACATTCCATTGAACATGATTACGTGAACACATGCCAAATAACAATGTCTCTAGATAACTGAGATAATGCAATTTACACATAGTAAAACTGCAGCCAGACATGTTAAAGCAAGCTGTTCTTGACACTTAGAGGTTGACAGGAGGCGCATATTAGGGGGATTAACGAACAATTGTTTCATAAGAGCAATACCTTAGCCACATATTTTGTATCATCACCTCTTCTCTTAACTTTTACCTGCAACCCCAAAAATTGATGACAATATAATCATTTTAATTTATTATATGCATCATATATTAAGAATAATAGGAATGTTAGAATACATAAATGGTAAAAGAGGAGCAGCATATAATTTTAGTTAAAGGGTGTCTTTATAGAAGAGTTTCAAATTTGCAAAATTCGTTAACATGCCAAAGTTAATAGTTACAAGCTTATAGTACTAGATCGCAAAGCCAATTATCAAGACAATCATAAGATCTATAAAATAACCTTCTAAAATTTTCCCTTCCATTCAGTCTGTACTAGGGGTAAATTTCTCTTATATTTTGACATCTGATAAGCTATGACAAAAACAAGGTCGATTTGGCAACCAATTTTTAGAAATTAACAGTAAGCTTAGGGGTGAAACTTCCATCATCAGATCTACTGAAGATTTAACGCTTCAGGAGATTACCTGAGTATCATGCTCCACACAGTGTGCATTAGTCAGAAGTTTCCTACCCTCAATCATAAATGCACTGCACATCATGTAGCTTATAAGGTTAAGAAGAAACATATCCTTAACATATATTGATAAGGATTGCAAATGCTTACCTCCCCGTACTTGTGTATTGTCTTTGTTTTTGCCAAGGAAGTGAATAATCTGGTGCAGTATGGGTGCAGTAAACCTTAAAATGTTACACAGAGAGATTTTATTCTTGAGAAGTTACACGCAAGAGTAATGGGAGTAATAACACTGCATAACATAAAATGTCAAGATGATAAGAGCTGCATTACAATGCCAGAAAAAGTGATTTAAGGCACCATAAACTGTGAACAACGTTGAATATACTGTATTTAACTTCTAAGTTGAGGGGTCAAATCAGGTTATTATGAAATGATTGGTATTCTACATATAGGGAAGTAACAAAATCAAATTTCAGTCCACTTGACGAACTGATGATTGCATAAAGTTCCCAAATCCCAACCAAGGTCATGAACCAACCCAAACATGAATATTGACAACAGAGGAAAGAAAAAAAAATTGCAAATACCATGTTTGGGTTTGAACTTTGCAATTTGATTATTTGATTTTCTTAAAAAAGATTATTATTAAGTGCACAACAATTAAAGAGTAAAACCTTTACCTTCACAACGGCATTAAGGAAATCAGCATCTTGTATATTGCTTGGTTCAGCCTGAAATTAAAATACAATTGTCTTAAAAATGTTAAAGAGGGAAAATCTATTCAAGATTCCTCACCGAAATTAATACCTGTGGCTCCTTTGAATCAATCAGAAACTCATTCTCTTTCCTTGGCATGCCAAATGGTTTATGAGCAGTTGGTTGGAGTCCCACCACACCCCTTCTACCACTGCCTCCATCAGCATATAGAAAAAGCCTTTCATCTTTTGATCGCCCTGAATACTTCTTCTGCCCAAAACCTTCTTTCTGGAATAACAAACTCAAAAGTGTTAAGCTGGAATGACACGTGAGTTTACATTATCCGTAAGGTAAGCGAACATATATTCCGGTGCTAAAACTCTTGGTGTGTCTTTTATCATCTTCAGCTTCGTTTCATCCTCACGTAAGTTCGACATAAGCAATGTGCGAGAACGTGCAACGTTAGTGGGCAAATAGTGCATTGTGTAAATGTAAATTTACGATGAAAAGAAGAATAAAAAAGGAAATTGAAGGAATAAATGCAAGTATAAACTAGGGTTTACTTGTATGTTGGATTTAGGTGAGGATAAGGCTCCGTCCGAATTTGTGTCTCTACGCTTGTGACCAAATACAAAGGCGCGGGAAGTGACGTGTGCGTGAGAGGAGGGGAAGTAAGACAGGGAGGAAGTGGAGCAGCTGAATTTAACGGTGGAGGATAGGACGGAGAATATGCTCGATACGGCAACGGCCATTTCAGGGAGGCCGGAAGAGAAGGAGGAGAAGCAAGTTGAGCGTGCTGGTATAGATGTTAATTTTCAAAGCATCCTTTGCTTTTTTCTTCTTTTCCTTATCCTCTGATTCCTGCTAGTATGGCTACCGGCTTCCCCCTGTGTTGGATTGGGCCTCCAATTTTTGGCGCCTCCTTGTGCTTTTAACCAATCGTAGCGCTCTTCCTTGTTAATTTGGGAAATTATTTAAAATATTGTTAAAATAAACATTAAAAACACAACAAAGGTGGGAAAAAAAAATACAAATTTTTTATTATTCCCCATGATTCTCTGTTGGAGACAATTTCATTTGAAATAAATTAGGTACTAAATATAAACATTTTTCTTAATTCAAATTTGGTTCACTACATATGTTTTCCATATTTTATTATATGCTCACTCTTCTTTCTTTGTAAATATTTCCACAAAATCTAAAGTCTAAACTGCATCTGTATTGTGCCTGCCTTTTTTTAAACAGAAATATACATAAGCAGTTTTTCAGGAGTTTTTTTGGTTATTTAATTCTTTTTCTAGTATTGTATTTTTATTTAAAAAATTTAATGATATTTTATATTCGAGCATTAGCAGAGCCAATTAAAAATAACTCTTCCACAAATTTTTTGCATTTAGCTAGACTGGAATTTAAGAACTTACACTTAAATCGGCCATGATATCTTCCGCTAGGGGCTGGGGCCAACTTGGTCCTGACTGCTCAATTTCTCTTTCTTTCTTGCTTTTCTGGCTTGGACGACTGCTTGGTATTGGTCTATTGGAAAGGTTGTCCAGAATTATGGATTAAAAATTACACAGCCAAAATATGTGTGGGCGGATTAAAGTCCAGGTGTGAACCTAGAGCTGTCACTCGCTAGTAGGCTCTCAGAATTTCAGTGTAAAGCATGTAATAATGGACTTAAATCCGGACCTGAATCGTGGACAGGGGACAGGATCTGGGAAGGGAAGAATATCATTTCAAAATCTACTTCAACAGCGCATCGCAATCTCTCTTCGATCTTGAGATTCAGAGGAAACCTGTGTACACATGCATGCTAAGGTGATCAGGTCCATCGGATTGTTTAAATGCCTGCTCTTTAAACATGGGCCATTTTTCCCCTGACAAGACTCTAAATATGTCTCATAATATAATGGTTTTTAAATTATATTATGAAATGGATGATGCCACGAGAAGAGAGTGAGGGGAGGGATGAAAATGGATTGCAATACGCGTTTGAAGGTGCAAAAGCCTCTAACAAACTCCGCATGAATCAGACCCCGAAAGGCCTTTCATTTTGGCGGCTCTTGCTTCCGTTATGCACACCCATGCGTGTTAAACACAATAATTCCCAAGCCTTGTATCTAGCAAATTCGTATGTCGAATTGAGGAATAGTATAACTTCCTTGTATTGCCCGAGCGCTGGCGTTATTGTTGAGAGCGGAACGTTCCTAGCTCGTGATTGGATGGTGCATGTTTAGCGAATTTCGAGAAATGTTAATGTTAGACAATACGGTTTTTTCTTGTGTTTTCATCCTATTTTTTCTCCTTCCCCGATTTATGTGTAGTTTTAATTCAAGATGCTAGTATTGCTGTTTAAATTTTTGTTTCTTTCCCCTGTTTTCAAGGGGGGAAATTCATGCATGCGATGATGGACCTGTTACATGTGAATTCCATAAAACACTGGGCTCCTTTTATTTTTTGTTTTTTTAAACGTTGGTGTCTAATTGTCTCAAGAAGCTTTAGAATTTCTTGTTGATGAGTAAAAAGTGCAGATTCATGAGCACATTAACCAATAACATGATTGGAAATGACATGTGTGCCTAGTGAGGATTTCATAACACAATGGTTGCAATTTTTGGGTCTTCTAACAGTCTAAAAATAAATAGAGTCTCTTATAATCAAGTTCACATGTTTAAAGAGGCTAATAAAAGTATTACCAAACTCACTCGACATACTCGTAGGAGAAAAATGAATTTTATGATTTTGTTCCAGCACCCTCATATTATAAGATGTTGTGGGTCACACTGTGGGGCATGTTGACTCTATTAGATTATTTTTGCCACGTTTTTCGGACTTTTAGGTTTCCTTTATATTAAAAATATATAAAATAATAATAAAGTATTTAATTTTTAATCAATTTCAACCAGTTTTTAATCTATTATTTAATTTGATTGATTGATTGATTGATGATGATTTGAATTGAATGAACTGAATTGAACGAGTCAATAAACTAGCCATTCTAAAACAGGTCATGGACCAGGGTATCAAAGAGCCAAGTTCTACCGGACGCAAATGTAACACTAAAATGTTTGGGCTTTGGAGTATTTCACCAATCATCCAAGCGGTCCTACTTAAACATTTAATTTGCTCAAAGTTTTATATAAAAATAACTTGACAGTAATATAGCGACACTGGCTTTCAATCGTAGCACGTTAAAACTAAATAAGACATATTTGCAAATCAATTGATTGTCATTTTAAAGTTTAAGCTCCTTCATGATATTTTTTTATTTTTAGTTTATAAAATTTATGGATGTTCACCAAGCAAAGTTGTTATACTATGTGTTGGTTTTTAAAGTTTATTTTATACATGAATAACACACACACATGTGGCCCTCTTTATGTGTAAGTAGCTTCAAACTTCCTTATCTTAATATAGATGAGATAATTAAATATTGATGTTGTTAGAAAAAGAAATTATTTTTCAACTTATCTTTTTTAAATACATCATGTTCAAAAAACATTCATTTTACATTTAGATGTGTTTGAGCTAAAGATGACACACTAGGCCTGATGCTGAATTCACCAAGGCCTAATTCAAAAGAAGCCATATTGCAACCCATTAAGACTGGACTTCAGAAACATTTAGTGAAATGCCATGTTTTGATGGAGTGGCGGCCAAATCCTAAGGCCATTTTCCCTATCTCTCAAAGAACATGGAGCACTTGTCTTGTCACTCTCCCTCAAATGAGGCACACCCATGATCCTCAAACTAGTGCAAATAGTTTTTGCTCTTTCTAGTTGTGAAATTCAAATTTGAAAGAATGAGATATTGCTTTTATCTATAAAAGGCAATGAGCATATAACTAAAGAGGCTCTTTGCAATCCTTCAATGCCAAAGTACAAACCAAACTTACCTTGAGCATTCTCCACTAACCTAACATCATTGCAATCTCACCCTGTACAACCCTGAATACTCAGTCTAGATCTTCTAGGCACTTTATTTTGCTTTTCCTTTTGATTATCATAACACACATTGTAATTATTTTCTAGTAATGCAATTATGTTTTGTGCACACTCTTACGTGCTCTAAATCTCTCAATTAGCTGTTACGCTCCAGAGAAATTATAACAAAGGCCCTTGGGAACTCACAATCATTTGACACGAGAATTAACTCTTTTGAGGATTTACTCCTCTAGTATGCTTGTCAATTTCAAGGGAGCACAATGTTCCATACCTAAAATTTGAATTAACTCTAACAGGATGCATAAGGATTTAGATTTGAATCAAATCTCCCATTTGAATATATGAAAGTCTATATGGATTCAGATTTGATTCAAATCCAAATGCATATTCTATTATAACTTCTTTATAATTTCAAATTATCTTTAAACTCTAGTTATTTGAAATTTCAACTACTCCAACCTTTTCATTTTCTCCACGTTTTAACTAACAGTACCTCTATTAGTCTTGCATCTCATCTTATTTCTCATCATTATTTCTACCTAATTGAAAAACATAGGTGAGTTTGTTATTCCCAGTCTTTCATTTCTACAAATTTGAATCTTACTTGTAACATCCTAAAAATTTCAACATCGAGTTAATTAAAATAATTAAGGTTAAATTTGTAAAAAATAATGAATTAATTAAATTAATCAAATTTTAAGATCACTGACAGCTTATTAGACCATTAAGCAGCTTTGAAGTCAAATGAAGGCTCAAAAATTTGAATGGTAGATCTTTGTCATCTGACAGACGGGGCGTGTCAGCACTTAATTAATGTAATCAGTTTGTGAAAAATAATAGAGAGAAAGAGAGAAAGAAAATGCAATAGTAGAGAGTAAGATCTCTGCTAGGACTTTGGTTTTACACCAACTGGGGAGCATTTTGAGCTAGAATTGAACTAGGTAAGCTTTCTATACTTTTCCTCTTCCTCTCCTATGTGTTTTCAATTAGAGTTTAGGCTGTTGGAGGTTTGATTTACGTGGTGGGTATGTTTTCAATGAACCCACTAGCTTGGATATAGTTATTAAGACCTAATTTAAATTTTTATACCTATGGTTAATGAGTTTACAGTGTTTTAAAGTTGGGCTCTAGGGTTTTAGACAAACCCTAGATAAAAATTTAAATATTTAGAGTAATATGGACTTTAAATTAGTGTTGTTTAGCATCCAGGAAGTTAAATTGAGTTAATGAAAGGTTGTTAGGCCTTTAATTTAGCCAGTGATACAAGTTAAAAGTTGTGGCTTACTTAATTAAGCTAGGAATTTCTTGCGTTAGAGTTGGTAATTAATTATGTTTATTTTAGTTGCACAGAGTTTACTTAAGCCTGATGAGGCTTGAGAAGTATTATAATCTCACGGGTAACCTTTTTTTGTAACAAAAGAGTTAAAGTAACTAAATAATTTCTTATACTTCTTGGCTCGTTAGGTCAATTATAAGGTTTTGAAAAATGAGTAATTATGTATGCATGTGTGCATGCATGCAAATGTGTGAATTTGGTTTTAAAAATTTATGTGAAAAATATGTGTGTACATACATGAGTTTATTAAATTAATCAATGATAATGTTAGGATGGTCATAGATATTGTCACGTGATATTATGACATGTGTGAGCATGATCATGTATGCATGAAGGCGGGAGATTCACCCTAGCAAAAATAGTGAAAAACCACATGGCACTCACTGACATCGTGAATGGCCCTAATGTTTAATTATATATGTATGTTTGAAAGTTCTCACTCACCACATGTGGCGGTAGTTAAGCATGTAACACCTTGATTATTTAAAAAAGGAAAATCATGGTTTGGAAGTGGAGTAAAACCTTGGTTAAGTTGCCTTCCCTATTCGGTGAGCTAGAGTCAGTCTACCCATATAGACTTGGCACAGTCATCTTAACAGCCCACAGATTCAGTCGTCAGTG